TATGGAAGCTTCTAAGGAACTGCTAGAACCTATGGTCATGTGGACAATGTCCTAAGAAGGGCTTTTTTTTTTTTTTTTTTTTTTGTACTGGGAATTGAACTCAGGGGCACTCAACCACTGAGCCACATCCCCAGCCCTATTTTGTATTTTATTTAGAGACAGGGTCTCACTGAGTTGCTTAGTGCCTCACCAAATTGCTGAGGCTGGCTTTGAACTCTAGATCTTCCTGCCTCAATCTCTGGAACCCCTGGGATTACAGGTGTATGCCACTGCACCTGGCTAAGAACAGCTCTTGATTGACAGCAGTTCCAAGATGAAGAGACAATGTTTTGTTTGGAAAGATGCTGCAGTTAAGACCAGCAGATGGATGGAACTTGATTGAAGACAGTATAAGAATAAATCAGATCCAGCGGGCTGAATTGCATGCTGTTTTCCTAGTGATGGTAGAATAACTGAGTAATGGTAAAGCTCCTGTGCTTGGGTTTTTACTGACTCATGGGCAGTAGCTATGGCCTGGCCATATAGTCAGGTAAATGGATAATAGAAAGTTCAACTATTAAATAAATGCTTGTGTGGGGCACAACCCTATGGAAATCACTGGTAATTTAAGGGCACATTAAAGTCGGACATATCAGAAGAACCCCCTTCCAGATTCAGAAGTTTATTGAAACCACCAAGGAGACTTTTTGGAAAACTCCCTTGAGCTGGCCACAAGAGTCCACAAAATGAGATGTTGGGGAGCTGCAGCAATGCAGAGATGGGCTGAGAATAGATATATTCCCCTTGCACCTTCAGAGGTATAAAATGCCAACAAGAACTGTACTGTCAACAAGAAAGATGGCTATAGGGAATATCCTCAGCAGGGACCATTCTGCAAATGGATTCCATTGGACCAATGCTCACAAAATGGGGGTGGGGGTCTGAGGGTGCTGGGGTGGGGGGCGGCTAGCAGGAGAAGTGGGGCTATAAATGGGTCTAGGCAGGAACAGATACTCCAGACTGTTTTGCATATTTGAAGGTAGACACAAACACCCAAAATACTATTAAAGGATTAGAACAGAAGATACTGTACCAATTTGGGCTTCTGATTTACATTTCTTGAGGTCAAAGGATACACTTTACAACCCGTAGTTATTGGAGATACTCCGGTGCTGCAAGGAATCAAACTCGTGCTTGGAAGTAGCTCCACAATGCAAACTTTACTTATTTTTAAAATTTATTTTAGTTGTTGATGGACACAATACCTTTATTGATTTTCAAGTAGTGCTGAGGATCGAACCCAGTGCCTCACACATGCTAGGCAAGCGCTCCACCACTGAGCTACAACCCTAGCCCAAAAATTTTTTACTTTTTTTTTTTTTCATTTTAGATGGACACAATACTTTATTTATTTATTTATTTATTTATTTATTTTGGTACCAGGGATTGAACTCAGGGGCACTTGACCACTGAGCCACATCCCCAGCCCTATTTTGTATTTGTTTAGAGACAGGGTCTCACTGAGTTGCTTAGCGCCTCGCAATTGCTGAGGCTGGCTTTGAACTCCCGATTGGCTAATTTTAAAATTTGGGCGGGCAAAAGGAAGGGCTATAGTCAAAATGGCTAAAATTGAATACAGGCTGGGAATTTCAAAATGGCTATGGTTGTGTTACCTCTGTTTACCAGTGATGAGTCCTTGCTTCCCCAATGCTGAAGTATATCACCAGAGAAGAACCCGAGGCAAGTTTAGAGTAGAAAGTAGAAGCTTTATTAAAGGACAGTAGAAAAGACTTCTCCCCAGAAGAAGAAGAGGACCGAAGAGTGGAATCCGTGGAAGGATGAGGCCTTCCCTCTTTTATAGCTAAGGTCTACTTTCAGCCTTTCTGCATTCCTGTCCTTTGTTCTGTTATCTTGCAGTGAAGTAATGTAGGTGGGAAGGCCCAAAGGGTGGGGGACAGGGAGGGCTTTGGATTAGCATCTACTAGTTTGCTGGGAGCTGCTTCATTAACATTTCCTTGGGATGGGCTCCAGGCCTTAGGGACATTTTCAATTCCCCCAAGGGCTGCTCCGGTTTCCTGGACTCCGTTTTCTACAATGGCCTCCATTCTTGGTTTTACTCGATATTGGACCCGATTTACCTAACTACGCTAACTACCTATCTGTAAATCTGGCTTTGTTATGCTAGAATTCGGGACCCCCAAAAGACCACTAGAGACCAAGATCGATGTAAGCAGCTGCCGCGTCCGGCCAAGGGAGCCGAGTCCGGCGAGGGACGGCGAGGTTAAAAGACACACAGGACACCAAGGTTCTTCATCCAGGAGTCAATAATAATCTTTATTGCTAACACACCTTTTTTTATACCCCAAGCAGCAGAAGTGGAAAACTACCCAAAAGCAGGAGGGAGGGGGGAGAAATTTAGTTTCAACATCTATTATTGTCAGGTACCGAAACCTCCCTTAACAATAAGTCCATCAGACCAGAAAAGGTCAAGGCATTCCCGTGGGATACATATGTCTCAGACGGACAAGCAGGAACAGAAAAACCGCAAGTTCGCCATGGCCTTGTGAGCTGGCCACACTGGCATGCAGAACAAACTAGTGGAGGTAGGGCTCCAGGGGCCAGGGTGGACCTGCTGCCAACAAGCAGCAAAGAGGTGTTTATTGCGAGCTAGCTCGGTCCTCTGCGCGCACACAGCAACTGGTGACGCTGAAAGACCCCGAGCTCAGGGTTTGCAGCAGCTTTATACATCCTTTGGGGAAGGCAGGTGTAAAGAACGGTGGAAAAAGCTCCATAAACTCAACAAGCCAAAACAACCATTTACCTGTCCGAGATTCCCTTGGCCACTTCAGGGATTGGAAACGCGCCATTCAAAGTTCGAGCCATTCATAGGGATTGGAGGTGAGGGTTCACGCACCATTCAGTGCTTCATAGACCTGAGCTCCCGGAAGAGAAGCAGTCTGGGAGCCATCTTTACCAACAGCAGGGACCCCACATACATCATAGCATCTCTTAGCAAATCATCACTCACCTCGGGAAAATCAAACAACAACTCTAAAACATGATTAGCACATTCACTGGCGGGAAGAAATTGGATAGGGGTGATTGGCTAGTACAAGAGGGGGTTCGTTTGAACTGATTGGTTTAAACCAGGAGGGGAGTATGTGCTGAACTACCTGGTTTCCCTACATGTTATCAACCACCGTAAACTACTGGAAGGGTCATCTGTCATCCTTGGTATTTTCCCTGTCTTATGCTAATTGGTGGCTGCTAGGAGGTTGCTAAGGGTCCCCACCTTGCCTGACTGACTCAGGGACACCTGGCGCAGCAGTTATATCCAGTTATTTGTAGATAAAAACTCAGCAGGCTGGGTATGTGCCTAGGAGTGCACTGTGAGTCTTTCCAAGGACAAGGGTCACGCCCCCTTCTTTGGACAGGCTTTGCTCTAAGGTAGAGGCTGGTTTCTCAGAAGAAATCAGAAACTAGGCCTGGTGTGGTGGCTCATGCCTTGTAAACCCAGCAGCTCAGGAGGCTGAGGCAGGAGGATCACAACTTCAAAGCCAGCCTCAGCAATTTAGTAAAGCCCTAAGCAACGTAGCAAGACCCTTTCTCTAAATAGAATATAAAAAAGGGATGGGGATGTTGATCAGAGGTTCCATGTCCCTGGCTTGAATCCCTGCTACTTAAAAAAAAAGGCAGGAACAAAAAGCAGATTGGACACTTCAAAATTGCTTTCTGTGTTGCAGGTCTGAGAGACGGGAAAATAGGAAAATAACAAATTAGATTATTTTGGGTTACTTCTTTTATGGATTAACCTCATTAACATGTCAATCAAAACTACATTAACAAGTCAAAACTGGCCCAGTTGGGAAATTTCCTTTTTGACTCTCTAATCCTGATTTTTTTCAGCAAGTCAGAACTGACTTGGTTCCAGTTTAGTGAGGTGGAACTTTAGCATGAATGATTCCATTTTGACTTTTAGCCTAGGGCCCAGTACAGGAGCAAAACAACGGCCTCCTATTTATTTAACAGTCCCCATTAGATTTTCCTCTGTATATATACATGTATACAGAGAACAAAATCCTATTCTCCAGATTTTGCAGTTTGAAAATGGTGATTTGAAGCAGCAAACACAAGTTGCAGAGAGGTTCCAAAAGTATGTCCTCACTTAATTTCATGGAGAGGGAGTTGGGGATTTTTTCCATTGCTACAGTTGGTTTACATTCTTCAGCGCGGTCCTTAAATTTCTTTTCTTTTTCTTTCTTTCTTTTTTTAAATATCTTTATTTTACTTCTTTCTTTCTTTCTTTTTTTTTTTCAAGTGGTGCTGAGGATCGAACCCAGGACCTTGCCCATGCTAAATGAGTGCTCTACCACTGAGCCACAACCCAGCCCTGTCCTTAGATTTCAATGCTTATATGATCTAAAATGCAGTTCGAAAAGTCCTTCTTAGAGCTGTAGCAAAAGGACATTGGCTGGGAGAATCCAAAGGCAGATTCTCACTAAATTCACAGACAAGTCTTTGGGATTTGTCCTCCGTCCTAGCACCAAGTTCACATTCTTCATTCCCATTTATAAGGTTTGCTGCTCATTAGGAGCGAATATGCGAAGTTTAAAGTGGTTCATATGAGCAACATTGAATTGCAAGCTGCAGGGAGGGTCCAAAAGCAGGTTCTCAATTTATAGATAGGGTGTTGGAAATTGTCCCCTATAGCAGTACCAGGCTCTAACTCTACATTTTGAACCATAAGGGCCGGTGCTCATTATGGCCAAATACGTGTATTTTGAAAATTACTTATTGGTCTTCACATGACTTTTTGTTGTCATAGACTCTGTTGAGAACTCAAATTTTGTGCCTCCGAAGTTCCCCTTATGGGCCACTAAGAGATGTCACAGGAGAAGACAAGTCTCCCAAGAGGTTCTGAGGAATTTCTAGAGAAAAAGGGAATCTTGAGTCAGGATCAGTGGGATTCTTGGCATATGTGGCAGAAAAAAATTCCAGCACACACCAGTCAAAGACATAAATGGAGGTTTATTTAGGATAGCAGATGCATAATCAGGTGCAAATCAAGGGAGAATAGGGGCAATCTCAAGAGAGATGCCCATGGGGTGAAGCTAGGAATATTCAAGTAAGGGAGAATGTGGGCTATCTCCAAAGGGACAGACAGCCCTGTAACTGTTTTTAAACCATGTCACAATTCCTAAGGCCCTGATAGTGTAAATTGTGGCACATCACCTGGCAAAAATTGGAGTTAAAAACTGGGGAAGGTGGTGTGTGCATGTAGTCCCAGCTACTTGGAAGCTGAGGCAGGAGAATCACTCGAGCCCAGGAGCTTGGGGACAGCCAGGGCAACACCTCATCTCGAAAAGAAAGAAAGAGAAAATAAATACATATATACTTACATTGAGGTTAACAGTGAATGCAGCTATATTACCTGGTGGTAAAGATGGCCCACTAGTTCTGCACATACCCTGTCTGAATGGGAGTGGATTGTGGTAGTGCATGCCTGTAATCCTGGCGACTTCAGAGGCTGAAATAGTAAGATTGCAAGTTCAAGACCAACCTGAGCAAGTTAGTAAGATCCTGTTCAAAAAACCCTAAAAAAAAAAAAAAAAAAAAACACCTCCCCCCAATATATATAAATATAAAAATAAAAAGGACTAGGGATGAAGTTCAGTGGTAAAGCACCCCTGGGTTCAATCCAATACTATAAAAAGAAAAAAAAATGAACTAAGGACCATTTAGGTGCAAAAAATTCAGACTTTCTAACTGATTCACTCTGAGGATATACAAACCCAGTTTCTCCTGTACTTTCTTTCAACGAATCAACATAGAAGACCAAATATGTGGGGGCAATTTCCCGCACACACCAAGTAAGCAATCAGTTCTGCAGCAGACACTAGCTGAGAGTTCTCTAATTCAGTACACTACCTAGAGACAGTGTCTTTTCCCACAGGTTAAGTGTTTAATCCCCAACACTACCTTCTCCCTATATCAGATGCCAACCAAAATCACCGGTTGTTTAACTTGTGCTTTTGACAAACAAGCTGTGTATCAGGGTTCCCACAATCCCCTCTGTAGGTTAATTAGTTAATTTGCTAGAGCAGTTTATGGAACTCAGGGAAACACTTAGGTGTACTAGTTTATTCTAAAGGATATCACAAAGGATATTAAGGTACACCAGGTGAAGAGATGGATAGGGCAAGGTGGGGGGGGGGAGGAGAGGACAGAACTTTCATGCTGTCACTGGGTATGCCACTCTCCAGGAACATCTTTGTGTTCTGCTGTCTGAAAGCTCTTTGAACCCTGTCCTTTTGGATTTTTATGGCGGCTTCATTATGAAGGCATTAGCTATTGGTGATCAATTTAATTTTCTCTCTCTCTTCCTCAGAAGTTGGGGTGGAGGAGCTGAAAAGTCCCAATCCTCTAATCATGCCCTGGTCTTTCTTGTGACTAGCTCCTGTTCTGGAGCTGCCTAGAGACTACCAACCACCAGTCACCTCATAAGCATTCAGAAAGACACCTATAACTCTAGAGATTCCAGTGGTTTTAGGAGTTGCATATCAGGAAGTTAGGAGGAAGATCAAATATCTACTTATCAATATTAAAGTCCACCCCCTCTCCCTGCCGCATCTTTGAACATGGATGCCTTACATCAACAAAATATACAACTCAAGCTGGGCTGGGGGCATATGCATGTGGTTTCAATACTTAGGAGGCCAAGGCGGAAGGATCACTTGAGCCCGGTCTGCACTTGCAATACAGTGAGACCATAAAAAAAAAAAAAAAAAGAAAAAGAAAAAAAAATCAAAACATACCGGAATCCCATTTATTCACTCATAATTAGGTCAGTTCATTGTCATATTGTTATGGTTTGGATGTGAGGTGTCACCCAAAAGCTCATGTGTGAGAAAATGCAAGAAGTTCAGAGGACAGATGATTGGGCTGTGAGAGTCTTAACCCAGTCAGTGAATTAATCCCTGGATTGGCATTAACTAACTGGTAACTGAAGTGGTAGGGTGTGGCTGGAGGAGGTGGGATTTGGGGCTTGGCTTTGGGGTATATATTTGTTCCTGGCAAGTAGAGTCTCACTGTTTCCGGATCACCACTTATGTTGTTTCCCTCTGCCACACTCTTCTGCCACATGTTTCCTGTCTTACCAGAAGCCCCAAGGAATGGAGCTGGCTGTCTATGGATTAAGATCTTTGAAACTGTGAGCCCTCAAGTAAACTCTTCCTCCTCTACAGCTGTGCTGGCTGTGTCATTTAGTCATAGCAGGGAAGAAAATAACAAAAACACATTTCAAACACATATGAAAGAATGTGTCTTTCAGATAGGGCCACTCATATGTGGTAGGGTTCCTTCCATTCTATCAAGTTCTACAAGTGGGAGTGGTCTCAGTAAATGCATAACCCTGCCCTTTCAGATCTCTAGCATAATTATCATGTCTTGCTTTGAGCCTCTTTGGAGGTGTAGATGTACCCATTCATTCATTCCTTTATCCTCAGCTACGATTTCTCCTGTTCTTCATTTATACTCCACTTTTCCACCCTTGGAAGGGACATTAGCACTGGCCATGTGCAGGCAGCAATCCTAGTCCAGAAAATGCCTCCCCTCAGTCCTCTCTCATTCAGATAGGCTATGTACTGAATGCTTGGTGGTGGTGGTGTTGAGATAGTGAGACCTTTAAGAGTGGGCTGTAATGGAAATCAGCATTGGGGCTGCCACGCTTGGAAAGTATTAATAGAGTTCTAAGGATCCTGGTTAGTTCATGAGAGAGTAAATTATAAAAAGAGCACACCTGTCCCCCAAATCTCCCTAATTTCTTGTCTCATCATATGATCTCTCCTTCTTACTAATGGTCCCCGCATGATGCCACCCATCTTGCTGTGATGCAGTCAAGGAACCCTCACCAAGATACTGGTACCATGTTCTTCAACCTTTAAAACTGTATGATAAATAGACCTCTTTTCTTTATACATTACTCAGTGCCAGGTATTTTCTTATAGCTATAGAAATGGAGTTAACAAAAATTGGTATTGAAGTTGACCTACACTACTATCATTACTACTTCTTCTTTTTCTCCTTCTTCTTTTTATTATTATTTTAACACAGTCCAGAGTCTCTTGTAAGGAAGGATTATTAGGCATGACTTACTTGAGAACATTAAGGTGCTGATTGGGCTGGGGATGTGGCTCAAGCGGTAGCGTGCTCGCCTGGCATGCGTGCGGCCCGGGTTCGATCCTTAGCACCACATACAAACAAAGATGTTGTGTCCGCCGAAAACTAAAATAAATAAATAAATATTAAAAAAAAAAGTGCTGATAAGTTTTAAGTTCTTGGGTAACTTCTATGTTCTCTTTTGCATGTGACTTATATGCAATAACTTTAGTTACAAATAATCTATTGATAGAAGATGAGGCAGAGGGCAGAGATATAATCAAAGGTTTAATAAAAACAGGGCTTCAGCTGGATGCAGTGGTGCATGCCTATAATTGCAGCTACTCTAGAAGCTGAAGCAGGAGGATTGCAAGTTTGAGGAAAACTGGGCAAATTAGATGCTGTCTCAAAATAAGATAAAAGGGCTGAGGATGTAGGTCAGTGGTAGAGTGCTCCAGAGTTCAGTGTCCTATGCAAAAAGAAAACAAGAAAAAGAAAATAAATTATTGCACAATAGTAAATTGCCAAGAAAAATTAAAAGCTGTCATTAGATTTCAATCTTCTTAATTCTTTAGTCTCTCTTATTTAGTTGTAGATACACCTTCGTTTTCAGGTTACTATGTGAGGGACTGAAGTAAGAGGCAAATATTATTTGTCCTCAGTTCTAGATCTCTGGGGCAGCCAGTTCCCAAGGGTCCTCACCCTGTGATATCCATGCTCCTGTGTGCTCCTCTTTCATTCGAAGTAGAGGTTGACTTTCGAGAACAATAGAATTCTCCAGAAGTGATAGTATGTGACTCTTAAGACCAAGCCACAAAAGACATTGCCTCTTCTGCCTTAGTCTCTTGAGTTATCACTTTTGAAGATACAAAGTTGCCTATGAGAGATGTACTTGGAGATGAACTGAGGCCTCCTGCCACCAGTGAGCATGAGCCTGCCACTGTGTATATGCCACCTGGGATGCAAATCCTGTAGCCCAGATGAAGCCTCCAGATGACTGCAGCCCTGGCTGACACCTGCAACCTCATGAGAGACTGCCAGCCAGAGCTTGTGAATTCCTGACCCACAGAAACTTTAGGACGCAATAGTTTGTTATTTTTTGAGGCACTAAAATTTTGGGGGTTATTTGTTGAACAGCAAATAGATTATGAATATAATCTGAACTCTAAGGAATAATGGCAAACAAGGAAAGGCTAAGCATGATATGGCCTATATTAATATAACAAAATTGCCTTCTCCAAATTTATCTGGTAAGATTTTATGAAATTTATTTTGTAAGAAAATTTGGCAAGATATATCTTTTTTACATCTACAAAGCTATTGCTAGAGGATTGCAGTGCCAGGTGAGCAGACTGACCAACCTGTTACAGGAGTCAGACAAGTTTGGGAAGTACCAGGTGAAGTGAAGCTGAACAGACTTGCTTGTTGCAGGATTTTTAGAGCCCTTGTGACACCAACAGTGCTGAGTCTTCAAAAGAGGGTTAAGTTCAGGCACCTGTAATCCTAGTGGCAGTCTGAGGCAGGAGGGTCATAAGTTCAAGACTGGCCTCAGCAATTTAGCGAGACCCTGTTTCAACATAAAAAATAAAAAAGGCTGGGGATGTGGCTCAGTGGTAAAGCTTTCCTGGGTTCAATCTCCAGTATCAGAAAAACAAAAGACAAACAAACAAACAAACAAACAAACAAACAGAGGATTATGATATACAGCCTTTTAAAAATATTCAATGAAGAAACCTTACTTTCAAAAATTATTTCATGAAACTAGCATTTGTGGAATATAGTTGGGACACTCAACAAGAGAAATGACCCATGGCATATAATCTTTCCAATGCAAAACAATTCCCCAGCACCCCATAGTCTTTCCTATCAGAGATAATAATCTCTACTCATTACTTATATAATAGAACAAATAGAAGTTAAAATGTTATCAAATTTTTGTAAGTCAAAGGCAAATACAAAATTAAAATCATGAAAATCTTGCAAAAAATAGCTATTATGAACATTCTAAGATTAAGGGAGACATTTCTAGTCAAAACAGGAAATATACAAACTTATAGACATATATGACTAATAATGAAACATTTCTGTATGGTTAAAAAATATTGCAAATGGTATATCATACATCAAATCATCACATTGTACCTCACAAATATATACAATTATTGTGTGTCAAAAAATTAATTTAAAAACAGTGTGAGTGGTTTAATAGATGAGAACTATATTAGGAAAAAGTATATATTTTCAATTTTGAGATTATGGATAGATAATATTTATCATGTAATGACCTCTTTGAAATTGATGAAAAGGAAGAAAATAACCTAATTAAAAAAAAAAAAGACAGAAGACACACACAAAAAAACAAGTCATAGAGGTGTATATCCTACTGGCCTGCACCCATTGAAGAGAAGTTCAAACTCAAATGTTAGTCAGAGAAATGTAAAGTGCAATGAGATACTACTTTATCTCCAGCAGACCTGCAGATAATAAAAAGGTCAATAGCTGATGTAAATGTGAATCATTCCAGCTCTTTTTGGAATGCAATTTGGCATTTGGCAGCATCTTAAATATATGCAGCCAGTGATCCAACTCCTGTGAAATCTGTCATATATATATAATAAAAAAAAATCATGAGTTGGGTGTGGTGGCTCACTTCTATAATCCCAACAAAGGGAAACTGAGGCAGGAGGATCCCAAGTTAGAGGCTAGCCTCAGCAACTTAACAAAACCTGTTTCAAAATAAAATTTGACAAAGAGCTGAGGTCGTAGCTCAGTGGTAAAATGCCTCTAGGTTCAATCTTCAGTACAAAAAGAGAAAAAAAAATCATTCATCTATAAGGTGTACAAACATATAAGTGTGTATGTTTGTTTTCTAGGGCTGCCAAAATTCCAGTCTGGATGACTTAAGTCTATTTTCTCAGACTCCTCAGGCTGCAAGTCCAAGATCCAGATGCAGGCTTTGGCTTGCATTTGGCACCTTCTTGCTGTGTCCTTCCTCCTGTGGCCTTTCCTCTGTTCCTGGAATACCTGGCGTCTCTTCCTCTTCTTCTGAGGACATGAGTCCTAGGGCCCCACCCTTGCAACTTCCTTTAACCTTAATCACCTCTTTACAGGCTCAGTCTTTAAATATAGTCGTATTGGGGGGTAAGGTTTCAATGTATGAATTTTGGGGAACATTTAATCAGTCCGAACAGGGTACTTACCATAAAATACTTCATAATGATAAAATATTAGAAGTGAAATGAATGTTCATCAAACAAAAGAAACAGTATTAACATGAACAGTCTCTTTGTAGCTGCTATTGTGTCTTTTGCCATCCCTTCTCCCTTTCCCAGACAATGGCCTCCATTCTTATTTTTGTGTAATCATTCCCTTACTTTTTTAATAATTATACAAATATAATATAGGTATATAATATAGTGATGTATATGATGTAATAGATACACAATGTGACACATATGTGTGTGTATATCCCTAAAGAGAATATTATATAGTTTTACATGATTTTGAATTTTATATAAATGGAATTACACTATATATATATATATATATATATATATATATATTCATTTAAAAACTTAGTTAAATAAATATATATATATTTTCATCTTTATTATTATTTTTTAATATTTATTTTTTAGTTATAGGTGGACACAAGATCTTCATTTTATTTTTATGTGATGCTGAGGATCGAACCCAGTGCCTCACGCATGGTAAGTGAGTGCTCTACCACTGAGCCACAACCCTAGCCCAATCCTTATTTTAATTTATTTATTTTTATGTGATACTGAGGATTGAACCCAGTGTCTCCTGCATGAGAGGCAAGTACTCTACCACTGAGCCACAACCCCAGCCCTTTATGTTTTATATTAAGACAGGGTCTCACTAAGTTGCTGAGGGCTTGCTGAGTTGCTTAGGCTGGCTTTGAACTTGTGATCCTCCTGCCTCAGCCTCCCGAGCTGCTGGGATTATAGGCTGCACCACCATGCCCTGCTCAACAGTATATTTTTGAGACAATTTGTGTTGTATATTTGAAATCCAGTCAATTCACTGTTGTTTAGCATTCTATTGTATAAATATATAATAATTTATTTATTTTGGTTGTTTCCAGTTTTTTCTATTTGAACAATGTCACCATATAAATTCTTGAACATATCTCCATGTATATGGGTACATGGATTTTTTTCTAGGTCTATGCCTAGGGTTTAATTGCTGAGATCCATGTCCAACTGTTTTTCAAAGTGGTAGATAAGAATTGTTATTGCTCTGCATCATCCCTAACCTTAGTATGGTCAGACTTTTAAATTGTTTTCAGTACAGTGAATATGAAATGCACAGTATATCTGAACAATATACAGTGTATACCTATACACATATTGAAATGTGGTACTTAATAGATATGTAAAATATGTGGTACTTAATAGATATGTAAAATATGTCAATTTAAAAAACAAAACTTAGGGCTGGGAATGTAGCTCAATAAGAGTCCTTGCCTAGTTTACATGAGGCCCTGAGTTCAATCCCTCAGCACTGCAAAAATACATGCATAAATAAAAATTATCCGGTGCATTGGTATGTGCCTGTGGTCTCAGCACATGGGAGGCTGAAGCAGGAGAATCACTTGAGCCCCTGAAGTTGGGAGCAGCTTGGAAAATATGGTGAGACCCTGTCTCAAAAATTAAAAAAAAAAAAAAAAGAAAGAGAAAACAAAACATAGTATCTCATTAGACATTTAGTATCTTTCTGAGGAATGATTTGGTTGGGCATCTTTATGGATATTTATTGGCCATAGTTATTTTCTTTGCTATAAAATGTCTTTTGCTCATTTTTCTAGTCAACTATGTTTTCTTTCTCTTTGATGTGTTTTCATGAAAATATGTTATTTTTTTACTTAGAATTTTTTTTCCTTTGTGAGGAATTGAACCTAGGGCCTTGTGCATGGAAGGGAAGTGTACCAAAGTACATCCCCTACCCAAAGATATTAATTTTTGGTGGGGCAGGGGTACTGGGGATTGAACTCAGGAGCACTCAACCACTGAGCCATATTCTCAGCCCCTTTTTATATTTTGTTTAGAGACAGGATTCCACTGAGTTGCTTAGTGCCTCACAGTTGCTGAGGCTGGTTTTGAACTT